GACTATAAAGTGGACTTTATAGCAAACTCAGTTAACTGACCGTTTGGACAGATGATCACTCCCTTTTGCTTCCTGTTGGCATGTAATACCTCCTCCACTGCGCAGTGCCTGCATCATCTTTGTTATTAGTCGCCGCTGTTGGGTAGCGGCAGCCTATGACAGCAAATCCCATAATGCTTTGCGAGGAAAGCAAAGCATTATGGGATATATCTGCCTCTTCTGAGGCCTTTTCCTTTCTTCTCTCTTCTCCCTTACACACCCATACAAGATGTAAAAGGTTAATTTAAAGCAAGTGATATGAGGTTAAAAAGAAGTTTGTCGAATGTTACGCATGCCCCCATCAGTGTTGGGCAAGCTACTTAAAAAAGTTATAGAATTCATATTACCAGGTACAGGTGCACAAAAGATATACAGTATTACTATTTGTGTTTAATTTCAACAAAATAAACATTTAAGGCATTACAAATTGAGGGTGCACAGTAATTTCTCATGAAAAGCTGTATCTCAAAAACATAATAATATAAAATAATAAAACAACAAAAACCTTAACCAGCATGGCACAAGCTCTCTTTCTATTCCTTATTTGAAACCACTTTAGTAAAGTGCGGCCAAACAAGGTTTAACTAAAAAAGTCACATTTCCATGGAACTCAGCAGGACAGGTTAATTCAACTTCAATATTAAGATTAATACTAACATTATCAGGTGTAAGTTTAGCCTAGTGGAACAATATTAAATGGATTCTGCATTCAGCTTCTTCTTCTTCTAAGTTAAAAAAAAAAACATTTTTCTTCTGTTGTTTTAAAACTGTCTTCTCATGATGTATAACAAGTTTTTTTTTTTTTTTATCAGTCTCATATCTTCTTTAATTAAGATGTTGGCCATGGGTTGTTTTTTTTCATAACCAACAACTCAGATTATAAAGCATTACCCATCTGAGGAACTGTTAATTATCTAAATTTAGTTTGTGATGTATTTTATTAATTTCCTATATACTGTATGGGGACGGTTGCAGAAGCGATCCTTGCGCCTTGCAGCCTGCTCCACAGAGCTACAGCCATCTCTGTGGGGCTTCTCTGTGTTGCCATAGCAACGACTGTTTTCCCTTTCCAGTGGTGGGAAGAGGGCATCCCATTCTCATTCATACCCTCCACCTTCAATCAAAGCGCCCTCCACAGCTGTTAGTGGGACGCCATTGGGAGTGACACTCGATAGTAAAGGGGTAATGCTTAGGGGGCAGTTTGAATTTTATATTTATCAGCTTTAGTGCTACTTAATCTGATAAAATAAGAGCTTCTTTGGGCCTTTTACTGCCCCTCTAAGAGGTTGAGTGAGCAACAAGGTGTCCTACTCATTAAAATGTAATTTTTTTGGTAAAAAAAAAAAAATAATGTTTCAATAATATCACAAACACCTACTATGGTTCAATTTGGCTGAATAAATCAGGTAACACAATGCTATGCTATGTTTTAAGATTTTAAAAAGGATTTTTGTAGCAAAATATACTTGATGAAGATCACCCACAGGTACCATTGTGAAACATAGAAAAAGCATTCGATGCAAACATAACATTTACCCTCACTGAAACTGTGAAGGTGATTAAACTGTGGCTTTCTGACTCCATCTGACTTAAACAACGTTGTTTTAAATCAGGGAGAACAAAAAGGTCAGCGGTCTATTACTGCTGACCTTATTACTCCCTTATTACAACAATAATTGAAAATATTCACAAAACTAAAAAAAACAAAAAAAACTGGGTTGCATCTAAGATTATTGATCAGAATTTTTATGATAAAACCAAAAATTTATAAGATTTTTAAATGTTTTAATCAGCAAAATAGTATAATTCATGTTAGAGAAACATTTACATATTGAAGAACTGAGCTTATATTTTAAACTTTTCAGAAACACTTTATGAACCCTGCATGACATGCAGTGAGAAGAGGTGTTTTTGGACAGATCTAAAGGTTCTGCAAAGATGTCTTGAAGTGACCTGGAAAAAAGAAAAAAGATGTATATGGTTTAATCAGAGAGAGCACTATAACTATGGTCTGTCTCTCACGGCTTGTTGCATGACTAATCTAAAGTCCTCAAATTTAGCGAATACAAATAAGGATGAAATACAACCAGCAAAGAATCATCTGAAAAATATTCAGCACACACACTGCATGTTAATAACTCCAACAGTTACAACCCTCCCTACTTCACTTATCTCTTTTACTAAATCTATACATCAGTTGTGAACAATAAGATTTCATCCATATTTTTAAGTGAGAATGCATTATAATGCATTCTCACTTATTGTTTTTCTGTTTTTCTTCATTATTATTATTATTATACTTTCCGTACATTTTTCTGTCTCTAACTAATGGTACTGATGATCGTACACTCCTTTTGTGTGATTGTGATATCTGACATATTTATATGATATATTTATGTGTGGTTGGCCATAATGCAAATATATACTGGAAACTAAAGGTTTCAGTTTCTAATCGGAAAAGGAAGTTATTTCTTGAAAATCTTGCTCAGCCAGATTTAAGGTTAACACCAAGTAGCCCTTTTGTGCTGACTGCATCGCAATTACTTTTTAATTAGGCTTATCCTAAATAATGCAGCTGAACTGATATTTATGCTCTATATATTTTATATTCCCCATCTTTACAATGAAGCCAGAAACAAGATTTTTACTGTCTCAATTCTGCAACAGAGCTACACACTGTGTTTTATTGCTCTGGGGTTATTTTACCCTCAAGCCTATTCTCAGCTCATGTACAGATTGGTTGGTTGTGCATTAAAAAACATCCTACAGCTCCAGATTTACACCCCCCATGATTGTAGTCCAAAGTGAAATGCATGAGTGGAGGAAATGCATTGCACCCCAGTTGATTCCATTGATATATCATCTCCCAAAGCAATTATGGTGTTCCTAGCTTTAAGTTCCTCTAGAAACAAGTTTATATCTGAGCAGATGTTGGTCAAACACTCGTTCACCTTTCAGTTCTTCTCTGGCCATGCAAAGTTCAACACCATAAAGCAATAACAGAAGAAGTACAGCAGCTCTTTCCACTTATGGTTGCTGGAAAAAAAATCAAATGCCTTTAGATATTTTGTTTTTTACATTTTGTTTTGAAATCCCCAACATTCAGTGCATTTTTAATGTATCAGGATTTATTTTAGATGACCAAAAAATGTTGAACAGGAAATGTGGCTGTCAAAAAGCTACAAAAATAAAAGTTTCTATGTATTTAGCCTCATTTTTTTTATTCTTAACCCCGAGTAAACATTGGAGCGTATTAACACATATTGATGATGTGTTTTTGGATAGGAAGATAAGCAGCAGTCAAGGGACATGCTCAAAAATCCAAAAACACAAATCCACAAAATCTGAGAACCAGGAAATGACGACAAACCAACAGTGATTGAGCAGGAGCTGCATATATGGGAGAGAAACAAAGAAAAGGCTAATCAGCAGATTGGGAGCAGGTATGAACACAGAAGAAGGGAGCTAGGGAAAATTAAACTGACACAAGAGGGTACCAGAGGGCAAACAAGAAATGCCAAAGAATTTAAATAGAAACAAAAATAACTAGAATAAGACAAAATGGAAATAAATCGCTGGACTCTGGAAGATAAAAAAAACTGCTGTTAATGCTGCTTGCTGCAAGTAAAAAGACAATCACCAGAAAATGGTTAAAACCTGAAGCACCTACAGTTGAGGACTGGTTTAGCATAGTGCAGGACATTTACATGCTGGAGAAGCTAACTTTTTCTGTCCAAGGACGTAGGGAATAATTTTTCAGGATCTGGTCTAAGTGGACAAACTATGTATAATCAGTAATCCCTGTGATCTAAACTTGTCTTATCACATGCAAATACTGTTGTGCTGTGTATTGTACCCTATTGGCAGGCTTATATCCTGGATTGTGCTTTTCCCCAAATATAAGGAAAACTTGAATCAGACATCATGTTCCCACTCGCTCGTTTTTCAGTTATAGATGTTTGGTTATCATACAAAAACTCTGGATTGGCTTATGTTGTTCTTTTCCACATTTCCACTGTGGTGGAAGCTTGAATGTACAAAGTAATTGTAACCTGTCTTTCAAAATAAAAATTTCAATAAAAAAAAAAAAAATGGAAATAAACCCATGAAAATAGAAAACAAAGAAAAACATGGATCAAAGTGAAACTGAAGACAACAGAAAACTTAAACGGAGCCAAAACCATAACAAATAGTCTTTAACATTTTGAATAAGGAGAGGGAGAAGAGAAAGGAGCAGAAAAAGTAGATAGATAAAGATTACACAAGTTAATATTAGGGTATTGAATTCACTCTAAGGAGAATGCTTAAAGATTTTTACTTTCCAATTGTCAACATGTAAAGCTGATCAAAATCTGTTATACTGAGGCCACTGACTGAGGTCTTCCTCTTCTAAATAATGCACTTCTATGTCTTGTTCTGTTACATGCAAATCGCTTAAAAACATTGAGGAATGCAGTTGTTCCTGTCAAAATTGTAATACCATGTCTTTTTCTCAGAGTCTGTACATAAAGTCTTATATTGAATGTTCCAGACTTTTAGAGGTAGAGATTACCTTTATAGATCATCAAAAGATTTCTTTCTATATTTCTGTTGTATTTTTATTCATTGGGTTGCATTCAGATGTAAATGGTGGAGTATCATCACTGTGGAAAGTTACCTTTACTTTTCCCAGAAAGTGACGCAACAAGATGGAAACCCTCTCTGGTTCCCTCCGGGGGTTTCTTGTACTAATTCCTTCACATCCACTGCGTCTCTGATTCACCACCAGTTGCATCACTCATTGTTTGCTTTCACACAATCAGATCAGCGTGGAACGGCGCCTTTAGTTTCCCTGCGTTGTTCCTCTTCAGAACAAGATTAAACCTGCAACATCCCGCCACATTAAAGCCAGGACTTTGCCGGTCAGTTTAGACATCAGATAAAACTGGTTTTATTTTTATTTTGTTCTTTCCTGTCCTCAGATCTTCCCTGACGTGTCCCCACTGCCTGAAACAAAGCAACACCTTTGACCCTTTCCTCTGCATCTCATTACCCATCCCTCTGCGCCAGACAAGGTGAGCTCTGATGTTTGCTGTGAGCTAATATGCTGTTATTTTCAGATTAAAATCAACATGAATTCTGTAAAATGTATGTAAAAACAGGAAGGCCATCTAGGATATTCTTGGAAGATATAACCAGCATGAATGTCTCCTATGGTTCAATAAAAAAAAAAAAAAAAATTAAAAAGATATTCCTATTTCAAGCTAAGAAAAGCTTGTCTCTATGCATGGGTGCAAGGAGGAGTAAAGGTGAAGGCCTAGATGAAAGTGCTCATCTTATAAAATTATAACCGATCTCATTCTCTTCAAGAAAAAAAACGATGTAAACAGGAGATTGGACAACTCCCTGCTATAGTTATACACTTCTTACTGCTGGAACAGAAACTTCTAGCGCTGCTCGGGCTGGTATCAAAAAGGAAAAGCTTGTGGAAAAGCCTCACAATATCAAGGAACAATGTCTCATTCAACCTTACTATACTACACCCACTTATCCTCCGTGGCAGGTTGAGAGCGCTCATTCTGCTCAGGAAATCCTGACATTTTCAAGGAGGAAGACTCCATTCAAAGTCCCCTTTTATATTTACATGCCTTTTTAAGCATCACACACAAATTTTTCATGTAAGAATTAAACACATGCAGCATAAAACATTCTGATACTGTGAGGCTTTGCTACAGTTTCTCCAAAGGTTTTGGCTTCTGAAAAATTTACAAGCAGCTATGCTAAGATGATGAGTAAATAAAACACAAAGGCTTTCCAAAAAAAAAAAAAAACTTAAAAACAATCCACTGGACTTGGTTTCCAAGTTTAAAGACGTTTCACTTCCCGTCCATGAAGCTTTTTCAATCCAAACCATTTTGTTTGTTTGTTCCCTGTTAGATGTCTTTAGTTTCTGTTTTCATAAGTTCTAGTTAGTCCATGGTATATGTCCCTGTTCCAGGCAGGAGATTAATCTCGAGCCAGTGTTTTCAGGCGAGTTTATTCTAAAACCAGTGTTGAGAGCTTTTCACCGTTTCCATAGTGATTCTGATCTCCTGATTCCATTCCCTCTCATCCACTGGCCCTGTCTGTATCCGTCTGATCTGTTCACCTGAACCTCCTTTGGACTTCTGCTGGATTCTGCCTCTGTCTCTGTGCGTTTCTGTGCATTTCTGTGCATTTCTCTCTGAGCTGGACTCTGAACCTGCCTTCACACTCTGAGGATTCCCTCTGTTTCCTGTTTGGGTTGGAACCTCTGATCGAACGGAGAACTCCTGGATCCCTGAACTGTTCCGGCCTGATTTGTTCTCCGGATCGGCTTCTTGCAAATTCAGTGCATCAGCTGATCCTGCCTGTTAATAAGAGGATGGACTGAACCGTTAGACCAGGTAAGTGACTCACTCTGATAATCATCTCCTGTCAGATGATCGTGGTCACTTACCTGTGTTTCTCCCTCCAGAGTGTCAGTGATTGGGCGGTGCCCCGCCCTCCTCCTGCAGTCGCTGCAGGTCCTCAGATCCTCAGCAGCCCGCTTCAGTTCTGTTTGTTTTAATAAATGTTTTACACTTTCCTACTGACTGTCTCAACTTGGATACTGGGTCCGTCTGTCCCCGTTTTATGACACCTGCTCTTTCAATTAGCCCTACCCAAGGGAAATTTCTGCAGCACCATCCTCAAAATGGCAGAAGCATTTTGCGTTCTTCAACATCTATAAAAAAGGCTGTTGATGGGAGGATGTATCTAGATAAAGCTAATTAGTTAAACATTCCTATTCACTTAACATTTTCCTCAAGTTTGACAGAGCTTAACCTATGTCTTAAATAAGGATGGGCAAATATTTTAGTCTTATTTGCAGTACTGGTAATTCGTCTGTTTGCAGTTGTGGATGTAAAGCTACAGTTTTCAATTACTTAAAGCATCTAGATATCTTCTACAGCCCAACTATGTTAGGAATGCTGTCTTGTTGAAGTATCCATTTCTTTAACATTTTAAAGAAAACACTCCAGTTCCCTTCCATATAAATATTGAAGGATTTTCTTTATTTAAAAAGTGTGAAATATTAAAAATGAAAGCTAATATCCTGCATTAAACACTTTAAAAATTTAACAGTATTTTTGTTTAGTCATTGTGCTTTTTTTTTTTTTTGCTGGATCTTAGAAAAAATGTCTCTAAAAACTGCAAACCTCGTCCTTTAAATGACTGGAATGTTTTAATATGTACCTGATGAAGTTCTTTTTTTTACCTTAATACTCCCAATATTTTCTTCCACTAAACAGAATACCATTTGTGAAGCTGGGCTGTTGAAGCGTACAGAAGCACCTGTTCGTGCAGCTGTTGTAAATAGGAATGAGCTGGTTGAGCACTCCTACCCAGCTTTTATCAACATGTTTAAGAGGCAGAAGTAAAAAAAAAAAGGAATGTTTTCAACACTGAAGCTCCTTCCTTATCATTAGAAAAGCATTGCTAAATAGTCTAGACATATGCATTTCCCAAATTATAACTGATTTCTTTACTCCTCAGGATGATCTGCATTTAAACTGTTCCTATTTGATATGATTTGCAATAACTTTAAGGGTTCTTTCTCTTTTTGATTGGCCATAAGTTGTCCCTGTTGATTTAAACTATTTTAAGAGCTTCTACCTGACAGAGAGCCATATTGATACTATTTTTCTATGACAGTAAGGATGACAACAAGGGTTTAAACAGATTGTCTTTTTGAAGCGTATCGAAGCTATCTGCTGAGTGAACGGTTCAGCTCACTTACACTGAGAGCAGCTCTGTAAGCCAAAAAACACATATTTTGTTTTCAAACCGAGAGTTAGCATGGTAAGGAGTTCAGACTGCTGGCTCCGTCCTCTGGGAGCTCCCTGCTTTCTTTGTTCAGATCTTTTGGCTTTCATTGCACTTTGCTAAGTAGAAAAGTTAGCTCATCCAAGAGAACATTTTATTGACAGAACCTGTCAATAAAGGTGCTGCTCTGGAGCAGATGGTTCAAATAACTCACATTTTAGTAATTTTTATTATTAAATTCAATATGGAACAAAGTCATGATCATAGTAAATATAAAGCAAAGGCTTAAAAGGATAGTTAAGAAATTTAAAAGTGGGGTCAGCATCAAATAGGCTGCAAGTATAAACAAGATAATTGGGCCTGGAGGCTAAAGATAATGGCTAGTTGAAGAGGAGCAAAGATCATAATAAACTTTCTCTATCTTAAAGAGATGAATCGATTTTTCTATAAAAATCCTTGACGCAGGTTCAAGTTTGCTGATTATCCTGACTAAAAATGCTTCACCTGTTCTGTTATTAGAATGACTTTCATAGAAATATGTTATGATTGTCCTTCTTTAAAGTCGTATGGAAGCCATATTTAAATGTCAAACCATTCTGGCTTAAACATGTATGTAAATGCTCTCTTTATTACACGATATTGTCCCATGAGGTAGAAAAGTGATATTTTTTTTAAAATCCTGTCTTAAAATCTTTGTTATTTTTTCCTGTTATCTTATGCAGGCCACTTAGTTATACGTCAGCTTGTACACCTAAATTCGGTCAATCATATATCAGCAGTCATCTGTAAATCAAATTTTTTCAGTCAGCATCTTGATTCATATGTCGCAGCTAATATACCCAATGGTTGAAATAACAAATGAGAATAATTTCTTTTCCCGTAGAGCTAACAGAACTGGCAGCGTTGCGAGGCAAGGGCTCAAACATGGACGGCTGTAAGCCTTCTACACCAAACCAAGCTTCTGCCGCTCTGGCGTCCTCTTCCACTCCATCTTCGTCCCCACTTTCCACCTCGAAATAAAAAATGTATGACAGAGGAGACTCATCCATGACCTCCAACACTAATCTCTCCTCCTCTTGCATGTTTCCTCTGTCCATAGCGTTCCTTGACAGTGTCGTTTCTAAGTCACCAATTTAGTGCTACTTGGTCTTAATGGAATTTCCCATTGGGAACCTACTAGCACTAAGTTGCTAACTGGTTAGCAAGATGCTTCCGACAAACCGACTACAACCAAACTTGCTTGTGAACCTTCCGCCACAACAATCCCGCCCTCTTGATAATCGACCAATCACATTCACTATATTCACTGGTGTTAAGTCGGGCACCGCCTGGTAGAATTCGAAAATGCAACGGTTGGAACAGCCATTTCCCTACGACTTGAACGTCACATATCCTCAATCACAACTTTTCTGAACAAAACTCTCATGCAGTGGATGAAAGCAGGAGTTAGAACAAAAATTTTAAGAGCTGGTTCCCTGTGTCTTTTAGATACAATAGATCTCTTTTGCAAAACATATAAAATGACTAAACAACATCTTTTGTATGCCACCATATGGGAGCAGAAGAGGGGTTGGAAAGACTGATTCAAGTGTTTTTTAGTTTTAAGGCTGAATACCTTTTAAAGAATAGATGAAGGTAAAATTGTCTGAAAAACTGAGGATATTTCCATAAATTCCTGGGCATTTTAACCTGTTAAGCTCTAAGGTTTTAAGAAGTCATTTCTGCCTATAATTACACAACTAAAATGATTTAGGAATGGTTCCATCTTTATCGAGTCTGATTGGAAACTTTTTTTTTTTTTTTTTTACCTTTTTTAAGACAAAAAAAAAATTTAGTAGAACCACTATTTCAGCTGTTATTTATATTATTTCTGATTTATTTGTCATAAAACAAAGAAAAATATTTTTAACGCCCTCCATTAAATATTTGGTAATAAATATTGAAAACCACCATGAATATCTTTTTAAAGCCCGGTAGATGCATTAGATTTAATATAAATCCTGTTTCTGTATGATGGCAGTAAAGTAGACCTAAATCAGAGGGAGCTGCCATCTTGGAACAAGTTCACCACATGTGCCAAAAGTGTTCCCGCTTTATTTTTAACTAGTCAAATGCGAATCTGGTCAAATAAAAGTGTTTATCCAATGTAGAACTCCTTCTGCATATGATACAGTCTTAGGTCATGGTATTCACCAAAAATGTTTGGTATGAAATGAGTAGAGAATGGAAACTATTTAAGCTCCAACTC